CTTAACCGACTGCGCCACCCAGGCGGTTAAGCGTCCGACTTCAGCCAGGTCACGATCTCGCGGTCCGTGAGTTCGAGCCCCGCGTCAGGCTCTGGGCTGATGGCTCAGAGCCTGGAGCCTGCTTCCGATTCTGTGACTCCCTCTCTCTCTGCCCCTCCCCCCTTCATGATCTGTCTCTCTCTGTCCCAAAAATAAATAAACGTTGAAAAAAAAATAAGATACAAAACAGATGAACGTAATGGAACGAAAGCAAAAATAATGTAAAAACAGAGAGGGAGATAAACCATAAGAGACTCTTAAATATAGAGAACAAACTGAGGGTTGCTGGAGGGGTATAGGGTAGGGAGATGGGCTAAATGGACAAGGGACATTAAGGAGGACACTTGTTGGGATGAGCACTTGTTGGGATGGGTGATATATGTAAGTGATGAATCACTAAATTCTATTCCTGAAATCATTATTACACTATATGTTAATTGAGTTAGATTTAAATTTTTTAAAAAATGTCATGTGCTTTACTGACTGAGCCAGCCGGGCACCCCTCTTTCTTTTTTTAAAGTAAACTCTGCCCTCAATGTGGGGCTCAAGCTTGTGACCCCAAGGTCAAGAGTTGCCTACTCTACTGACAGCCAGCCAGGAGCCCCTCAATTATTTTCTTATTAATTTTTATGAGGTTTTAAAAAACATTTTATTCTACTTACCAAGTACAATACAAGACACATAATAGGTACTCCTTAAATATACTTTGGGCTATTTCTTAATTGTTCCTGAGGACTTTTTAGGAAAAAAAGCAGACTTTCTAGGATGCTAACTCTTTTCTCTTCCTACCCAGGACACAGCTGGGCAAGAGCGGTACCGGACTATCACCACAGCCTATTACCGTGGGGCCATGGGCTTCATTCTGATGTATGACATCACCAACGAGGAGTCCTTCAATGCTGTCCAAGATTGGTATGAGATTCATTCATTCACCTCATTCATTCATTCATTCACCTCAGTTACTCATTATTCATCAAACTCTTTAGGAAAACCTAATGTGTGCTAGGTCTTGTGCTGTATGCTAGGGAAATCTACGTGAATCAGACATGGCTCCTGTCCTCAAGGAACTCACAGATGAGAGGAGAGGAAGATAAGTAAGCAAGCAGTGAGAATATCATGTACATGTGCAGTGATAAAGAGAGGTACAGTTGGGAATCCAACAGAGGGCTGTGACCCAGCTTGGGGAGTCAAGGAAGGGGTCATGGAGTTGCTGACACAGATGCTACATTTTGTAAGATGAACAGGAGTGAGCCAGGGGGTGAATAGATAAGAATATTCCAGGAAAAGTATACAGATGTACAAAGATGAGAAGGTAAGTGAGGGGTATAAAAAGAGCAGAGGTCATGAAGAATTTTGTGTGTTGGGATAAGGAATTTGGAGTTTATTCCCTAGATGACGACATTTGAACAGGGAACCAGCAGGTTCAGATTAATGTTTTGGAAAGATCATCCGGTCATAGTAGTGAATGAATCCACATATGACATCCCCATAAAGTTTATCCCCAGGCTAGGGGTCAAGAGCACATCTAGTCCAAGTTTGTAAAGATTCAACATACAATGGAAATCAGCACAGCTTCACAGGTACAACCTCTGAATGACTTACACAGCTTTCTTCCTAGAGTATAATTCACAGGGAGAAGGGAGCACAAGGGGAAGGACAGGTAAGAGGGAGGGCCCAGGACACTGTGCCCCTAATCAGTAGAAAGGATTGGGATGGGAGAAGATGGAACATCTGTGCCATGGTCTTCTTCAGAATCAGAGATGCTGAGAAGGCCAGCAATTCAGCAGTGGTGCTGGCCAATGCCAAGGTTATCTCTGCTGCCCTTTGCCCAACAGCCATCCTTCGATGACTTCCCTTCTGTGAAGGAACAGTTGCCGTGACTGTGTGAAGTACTATTGGTGCTTGTAGTCTTGAGTTGTGAGTGACTTTGCAGGCTCTCCAAGGTGCCATTCACGTGTCTGTCATTCATGGTGGTCTAGGTTCTCCTTCTCAGCCTATTGGTTATCCTCCCCTTCCTCCTTTTTCTCTCTTCCCTTTTAACAAGACCCCTCCATCTTCCTTTTCTCTTTACTAGTCTTTTTTCCTCTTTCCTTTTCTCTTCCTTTTCTCCTTTCTTATTCCCTCTTTTCCCTGCAGTCACGATTTGTCTCAGCTCCTCCTCTTTCTCTCCCTCTCCATCTTCCCCCCTACCTCCTACCATGGAATTATTAGCTCTTTCTTTCAGTGTCTCTACACTGCTAATTCCCTGTTGGCCTTGACCTCCTTCCCTTTTGCCATTAGTCCCTGTTCATTCTGTCTCAGGAACACAGTGACTTTAACACCTGGTGATGATTCCTCCAAGAATAACCTGAATTGCTAATCTGGGAGCTGAGAGTGGATGGGGGTGAGAAGAGGGACAAAAATGACAGAAAGAATAGTATGGGGAGACATTAAGAGTTGGCTCCAGGGACCTGCCTTGAGGCTAAAGATTAAGTGTCTATTTCTCCTAAGCCCTGGCCTTTAGGTTTTGCCTCTGAGAAACTTGGTCCTAGCCTAGCCCCTCCAGTGCCCAGCACAGAGCCTCATTCTTTGTCAGCCCATGACCAACGTGGCTGAGTGAATTCCGTACCTTAAGGGAATGGCTTCTCATCCTTAAAGAGAAGATTGGTGGTGGGATCAGCTTTAGGAGCAGGGTTGGTAATAGGTCCAGAAACAGTTAGGGTTCAGTTAGTTTGAGTGTCAGTGTCAGGATAGGGTTGCATTTAAGATCTGCTTCAGGATTAACCATTTGCTGGCTTATTCATTCACCAGAAATTTGCTGACATCTCCTCTACTTTGTGCTCCGTGCTGGGGACTGGCACCCCAAAGACCAATGAGACTATCCTTGCCCTCAAGGAAAGACTGATAAGTTTAGCTAAATATAACAGGTGCCATGGTAAAGGTTTAAGTGACCAAAATGAGATTCCATTTTTGTCTGAAGGGATGGTTAGAGACAGAGTTAGGCCCATCCCCACAAGGAGATGTCCACAATATAAGGGCCCTATTTTATTCCTTACGTTAAAATTTTGTTTCTCATTATGTAAGTAGTATATACTCACTTTTGAAAAATTGAGAAGTACATAAAGTATTTTTGAAAAGTTTCATAATCATCTTTTGTGAGGGAAACTACTGCTGACGTTTTGGTTTCTAAAAATATTCATCATCTGAGGCTTCAGTGAATGTTTGCAAGTCACAGAGGAAGAAGGAGAGGCTAGCTGGGCCTGAGAAAGCCTGAGACGACTTCCCGCAAGGAATTGTGGGACCATCCTTGGGTCTTGGGGGATGAGTTAGTGTGGGGAAGGGACTCCCAGTATAGACAAAGGCACAAGTTATGGAAGAGCATTTGGGGGATGGGTGGGAAGTGAGAGGAAGTGTGATAAAGCTGGAGAGACAGGATGTGAATGTTCTTGAACACCTGAGGGATATAGACTTCATCACATAGCTACTCGTTTTGCGGGCAGGGTTGGTGGGGGGAGCATAGAAGAGTCCTTTCAGGAAAGGATCAGCTAGATGTTTTAGAAAGAACTCTCTGCCCAGTGAAGAGAGGGATGGGCAGATGTATTAGAGGAATGCTACTAAGAGGTGGGTGAGGTTTGCAACCAGGGCTTAGGGGTCAGCACCTGTGACAACCAGCAGGGGCAGGTATCTGTCTGTCCTCAACTGAGTTAATTGACATAACTTGGGTGTAGCCTGCCTCCTGGAAGGGAAACCACATCTTAGAGTTTTGCAGGGTCTGCCACCAGAGCAGGATGTCATTAACACAGTCTTCTCTTGGTCTCTCTTTAGGGCTACTCAGATCAAGACCTACTCCTGGGACAATGCGCAGGTTATCCTGGTGGGGAACAAATGTGACATGGAGGAAGAGAGGGTTGTTCCCACTGAGAAGGGCCGGCTCCTTGCAGAGCAGCTTGGTATGTGTACAACGTGTGTGTGTGTGTGTGTGTGTGTGTGTGTGTGTGCACGCGCACGCACATGCATGTTTACAGTTAAGTGTGACATTAAAGGTATGTTGTGATTGTGAATTATGTACATGTGTGCTCTATGTATATTGTTTATATTTGTGTGATGTACGTGTAAGCTTTGTGCTAGTGAATTTTAGGTAATTTATTATTTATGATAATGTGTATATTTTGTTACATTGAATTAATAAGTAAAATTTAAATTTATGAACTATTTTTTTTCACCAGCACCTTCCACAAAGGCTTTGAGGTATCTTATAAAAATCATCATAATAGGGGCACCTGGGTGGCTCAGTTGGTTAGGCATCCAACTTCGGCTCAGGTCAGGATCTTGCATCTGTGAGTTCGAGCCCCACATGGAGCTCTGTGCTGACAGCTCAGAGCCTGGAGCCTGCCTTGGAGTCTATGCCTCCCTCTTTCTCTGCCCCTTCTCCACTCGTGCTCTCTCACTCTCCCAGAAATAAATAAACATTAAAAAAATGTTTTAATTATCATAATACATCAAAAAAATTAGAAAATCAAAGTAAAGGGAAAACAAGGGTAGGAGGAAAATAAGAGGAAGCCAGGGGTGAGATAAGTATGTATGTTTTAGGTTCCCAGGCATGTGTAAGAGTTGGGTCAAAATATTGGCTTTTAGCTTCCTACCAGCCATGCAAAGAGAGAAACATAATCAATTACATGGTCTCAAGATGGTCCTTAAAATAAAAACAACCCCTCCAAAATAAAATAAAAACAAACCCATTATTCTCTTCACTGGCCACGATAGAGCAGACTCTATATGCTGGATGTGACAATGTCCTTAATAGCAAACATCCTTATAGCAACCACAACACTGTGTCTTAGTATTTCTCTCAATGTAAACTGATGCTTCTTCACCAAAACACAATTCACAACAACAGTAAATGTTTGAAGGGATGAAATAATGTGATTTAGGTATGCAGCTCAGTCTGACTTTTTCCAAGATTAAAGCACTCTTATCTCTGTGTTCCACTGAGACCCAGGTACCTCAGGTGCGTCTCAATGGCCCCACAGCAGAACTCCTACCTATACTTGCTTAAAGGAGCAGCTGCTTTTCTTTTCTTTTCTTTTCTTTTCTTTTCTTTTCTTTTCTTTTCTTTTCTTTTCTTTTCTTTTCTTTCCTTT